TCCTATGTATTTATAAAAGAAAAAACAGAGAGAAAAAAATAAAAAAACGAAAAAAAAATCGATAACATAAAATACAAAAAATTATACATATATTTAAAGCTACAAACAGTATGAAATTATTAATTTGAATTACCTTGTAAAGGAATAAATAATAAAAGTACTATAACTCCAAACATAGCAGATAGTTCAACTTGTCTATACATAAAATATGTTATAATGATAGTTTCAAGTGGACCAATCCACAAATAATGTATATATATTATTGCTATATCAAATCTATTAACATCATTAGACAAGAGATTCACTGCTTGTCCCACTGTTGTGTCTCCTAAAGCAGTTCTTGAAAGCTTCAATGCTTTTCTATATAACAATGTACAACAAGCCACACGTAACTTCATTCCAATATGAAGTACCCCCATCATATATGGGTGACTAACAAATAACAATAAAAATGAACACAGTATTATACCACCCGCATATAAATAGGCATTTTCTTTTTCTTCCTCTAAATTATTGTCACTATTATACATTCTCAAAAGTCGACCAAGAAATAAAGGCTGTAGTACCCTGTATATAAAATAAATATATAAAATTACTTTTAATGAATTATTATATATTTTATTGATTGATTAATTAATTTTATTGCAAACTACGAAAAAATACCCAAAATAATATTAGTATTAAGTATTACTTTGATAATTAACTAGTAGCAATCAACTTTGTTCTACTTCCTAAGCAAAAAAAAAAAAAAACTTTAAGCAAAAAAAATTAATGCCACACAGGAGAAAAGAATTAACAGTTAGAAAACAAAGGAGATTTAAGGGACTTAACGGTTTCGTCACATTGTCAATTTCATGAACTTGAGAATTTGAAAAATTGTACAATCTGGTCATTACAGTATGTACAGTTGGTATAGACTCGACTTTCGGTTGACTGCAGTAATGGATCAAAAAACGAAGAAACAAAGGTTGTGACAATCTGAACCAATAATCATATTATAAAATTCAATGTATTTAATGTATTTTCTATCATAATAATATATGTTAAATGATTATGTACCTAAGCACAATGTCCGCAACCGCTAAAAATATTCCATATATGAGTAATTGAAAACCAAAACATTTGAAAAGAACCTTTAATAAACTAGGCTCCTTTAATTTTTTTTGATTATATTTTCCCTTTTTTTCATTTAGCAACTTCTGTTTTTCATAAGCTTTGTATTCCTTTTGCCATGTTTTTGATATCTTTGTTCCTAAATAACTGCTTTTATGTTCTTTAAGAGGTCTGTATAAGTCAGTTACTTCTAAATCTTTACGAGAACCATTCCAAAAAATAGGAAGTGTAAATCTATTAATAAAAAATATAATTATTATTACATTATATTATTATTACTATTATTATTATTATTATTATTATTACTAATAATTATAAATAACATTTTAATTCAATAGAATTTTAAAATGATAAAAAGAAAACAATATCACTTATCTTATTTTCCATTATCTTTAAATCAATGACTGAGCTAAATATTTAAACCTAGAATATTATCTGTTTTCAAGCAATTTATATTAATGTTCACTGATTAAAGATAATGGAAAAAGATAATGAGAATATACCTTCAAAAAATTCTGTCTAAGAATACTAATAGATAACAATACCAATAAAATATTATTGGGTTAATAATGAAATTCAAGATAAATGTCATTTTATTTACACAAGAATTTCATATATTTATTTAAAGATGTTTTTAAGATATTGTTTACTTATCAATTTAAGTTATATTTTTATTAGTAGGGTATGACAAGGAAAAAATTAAACAAGTCATTACATTTTATAAAACTTACGCAAATGTTAAAATACTAAGAGGATTTGCTCCTTCTCTAGGATGTTTTTTTCTTTCTTTTTTTATTTTTCCATCCATGATGGCATTTGATTTATTAAATCAATTTTTCCTGAAAAAATAAAATAAAATAAAATAATTAAAATTTCTGATGTAATAATTTTATTATTTTATCACAAATATTCACGAATGATAAAAAAAATATATCATTAGAAATAGATATAGCATAATTATTATTTCTGTTAATTGATCTTTTTAGAATAATAAGATAACAAAGAAAATTCAACTAAAAAAATAAAAAATATATTGTAGAAATAATAATAGTAAAATTATCAATATTATTAAATATTAATAAATTATATTATTTTTAATTTTAATTTGATTATTTTTATAATAGAGCAAATAAGTAAAATTATAATAGAACAAGTATTTCTGAGTTTCATTTTTTTAGTAACAATAAAAAATTATTATAACAACTATGTTCATAAAAATGTCATTTCATTTTACATAATACATTCGAATTGATACATGGTTTGAATTTAAATTATATAATAATAAATACGATGATTTTTTTATATAAAATAATCAACAATTTTGATAATTTCAAATAATTATGCTTAATAGAACAGATTTTTAATAAATAATAAAACTGTCATTTGAAACTTTCATTTCCGAGATGAACCGGAACAATAATTCAAATGTTTGTTATTATAATACCGTTGAAACGAAAATTATTAAAGAAGATAATACAAAGTATAAATAAATCTTGTCAAAATTTCACGTCACTTACAGTTAAAAATAAACGTATCTACTTTTTGGCATGTAAATATCCCATTACATTTCAAGTTCACAATAAATTGTTAGTGACTAGCACTTGCGACAGTTGACTGTGCTTTATTCGCTCAGGTTCGTATATGATATTGGTTAACCTTAAACTAATACACATAATATCACTTCGTATAGACTATCTTTACGTATATCTCTGTTATTACATCCGTATCTCTTCGTAATAACAATCAAAATGACATCTTTTGCAAACATACGAAAAGAAGGATTTATATTATCAACGATTCATTTTTAATATAGAAACAAAGATACATAAGATAATTGAACAGTAAATTAATAATTATGTCTCTAATTACACGCGTTTATCGAGTAAATAATGATAAAAGAAATTAATTTGTGAAAATCATGGCCATCTAGCAGAAAAAGTTGTAAGCTTGTAGCAATTTAATGTATTCGTTATCGATAAACTATATTGTATTTTATAATTACGAATAATTTTTATTTAAAAATTATACTTTAATTTTTTTTATTGGAATGATCTCAGGTTTCTCATTAAAACATAGTCGATTAGATTGAAGATTTATTTTATGGAATTTACCGAATTGTCGGTATCCATTATTTTTGTACAATAAATTTACTAAAAGTTAAAGAAAATTTAATAGAAATACATTAGAAATATGATTTAAGTACAAATGTATATATATTAAGTACAAATAAGTACGCATACAAAGAATCTTTATTGATCGGCAGGTTACAGCTTCGTTTCTTATTCGCTATTAATTCAAAATCTAAACGTGGACTATCAATTCGAACTTTGCTCTATCGTTTTTTTATCGTTACAAATTCTCGAAAGAAAGAGTAATAACTTCGTTTAAATAAAATAATTGCTACACGCTATTAAAAAAAAAATAATTAAAAGAATTGTACAAATATTAGGAACTATGTAGTAATATCTTAATCTTCAGATATAATATGATATTTTATTTCTTCTTCGTATGTCGCACTTTAAATTAAAAAATCGATTAATTTAATGGATTTGATATTTGGCACTTTTCATAAAAGACATAACATCAAATTTTCTATTACACAGAGAACACAAATTTGTAATTAAAAAAAAAGAAAAGAAAAGAAAAGAAAAAGCATAAATAACTTTTAAAACTCAAATGTAATAATAATAGAAAATATTTTTCATTAAATATAAATAAATATGATATATAACATGTATGTACGTACATACGTGCATCCTGTATGCACCTATGTATTAATATGTATAGGCATATACATATATTAACATATACATATGTAAAGCTTATATGTATACCTAGAATATAGTATCACGTAACACGAGAAGAATAATCTTCGAAGTAAAATTCGATGGAACCGATATTGCATTTTTTGCTCTTTGAATGAAATCAAGTTTAAAAGATGCAATGAGAATTATATCGAAAATGTATGAATATCGATACGAGATTAAAAATGTATTTTCGATCGATCTTTTCCTTTCGCAAATCTTTTCGAAACTTACACATACATCTGGCTAGTTTATAATTTTCGAAATCCATTCCAACTGTGAGATAATACGTATAATACGAATATCGAAATTCCACTATCGTAAACGACAATCAGAGTTGTTGTTAGTTACTAGTAGAAATAGGAATCAACAGAAATTCGGGATATCGGTTTTCGATTAAATTCGCAGATTACCGATGTTATCGAACCATAATCGAGATCGTATCATTATCATTATCATTATCATTATTATTATTATTATTATTATTATTATTATTATTATTAT